TCGATTACTAATTCTTTGTTATTGATCCACGGTCGCATGCAACTAGTTTCAGAGTGGTTTGAAACTGATTAGTCGCGCCCGTGTGCGATCGGTCTAAGTAAAACAAAAATAGTGGAGTAGGTGAAACAAAGAGCGCAAACGGTTTGCAACACTGATTTCAAATCGGTTACGCCCGTGTGCGTTCGGCCTAAGAGTCACCTCTCGAGTGCAAAGGGTTGACCGTTTGAGTGCCACGGGTCTTTCTTATTTCCCGGCCGAATATTGCCAAGCGGCGCGGTAGCGTTTGTCATATACCGTGTCGAAAAACGCCAAACGGCGCAATAGCGCTTGTTATAACACCCCGAGCCGGCACGATTGCTTGCTGTGATTATGGGCTTCGCAGCCGAGAACGCTGGCGCTTTGAGGACAGGACAGACGAAGCGCGATACGGCGCGTGGCACTCAAACGGTTAGTTCCAACAGCCTGGGTGCAAAACGTAAACAAAATTGCCCAGCCTTCGAGCCGATCCACGGTTCGGCAAATCGGACCTAAGTTATATCAGTCGCGCACGACTTACGAAATGGAAGCACGGGTGTAAGATACAACTGGTTCAATTTCGTGAGATGTTTGATATAAGTAATTACAAGCTGATGTAATAATCGTGGTAGATATACCAGAAAATGTTTATTATCAATCAGTAAGGTATAACATAAATCGATAACGTTTCTCTCCAATGCCTGAATAAATTATAGCGATTTATAGCGATATTGGGTGGATAGAGGGTTCAAGTCTTCTAGGGGCTTAGAAACCTCAGATTTTGGAATTTAACTCTTTGAACTCGAGAGGTGACTCTCAGTCGTCATTAGGTTTCACGCAGCAAATCTGCAATACCTAATCTATCTTTATGTTTAATTTCTTTGGAGCTCGAAGTGTCTGATAAAATGATTATCGACGAGGTAAAGGTGACCTTATTCTCAAATCTAGATAGCTTAGAATTCATGTCAATAGAATGCTAAGAAACATTTCGAGTTGCTGGTACATACAAAAAAAAAAGGCCTCGAGTGCAAAAGGTTAATAACCATCACACGTACGTTGCCATTTTTTTCTTTGTTGTGAATTGTCGACAGTTGGCAGATAAGTTTCTAGTAATCCAACATTTAGTCAAGGTTCCTGAATCGAATGTAATTTCCAGTCTTAATAATAAACACAAGTTATTATCACTCATTCATCGTTCAAACTTTTTTTTTTTGTTATTGCAATGTATACCCAATCGAAAACTAACCGACATTTGTTTAAAATATTTTTGTCAGATTATTGCAAGTACTTGAAAAATCGTGAAAAGTGTTAGGTGGGACACCTTGTATATGTTTAAAATCAGAATTATAAATGAATGAATATAGAGGCACAGAAATAAATTCTACAGCTAGTAACAATCTTTTATTAAGTTAGTGTATTAAGTTTCTCATACGGTGCAAAATCTGGTGTACCCCAAGGATCACACCTAGATCCTCTATTATTTAATTTGTTTATCATCGGTTATCACTAGAGTGCAAATATTTGACAAATGGATAAATACATAAAATATAAAGAATTATATACACGTTGCAACATTTGGAGGTAAAAGCAAACTTCAATTTAAGTTTCTTTAAGGTTCTTCGAGGAAATCTTCAAGGAAATTGCATAAACATTCGCAGTCTAGTAATCACAATTTGTATCGAAGACTTTTACATCACAAGAGCGCCCTACAGGTGTCCCAATAAAGATACTAATGACAACTTCTTTGAGAATGTATGGCAATCAGCTTGGTTGCTTGAATAAAAAATTGCATGTATAATAGGGCTCAAATAATAAAATATAAAAATATTTTTTCAAGCACCACTTCAAGCATCATCTAGGTCCTATAATTTCTAATTTTTTTTTTAATTTACAATTTAAACAAATACAAATACAAATTAAGAAAGTTAAGAATCACTGATTTAGAGTACGGAAGAATATTACTGTGCCAAGAGAATGATTATATTTTAGGAATAAATTTAAATGGGCTGTACCATTCACACATAGTGCTCACGGTAATTAGAGGGTCATGTTCCTAAGTAGATAATTCGGAGGAATTAGTCGACTAACAAGGTCGAAAGAAATGCTGCACATTCAACGTTATTATTTACTGAGTACCAGGCTTAAACAGTTTGCTGAGAGCCTCGAAGTACATCCTAATGAGCGACGATTTCATGTGAGTAGGTGATTTTTTAATTCGGTATTCTTTAAATTAGAAAACACCACGCATAAGACAATTCACGATCGATAATTTCATTTGAATAGGAGATTTTCTAATTCAGTGTTTTGTAAATTAGAAAAAGGTACACCGAATGTAATTCATGGAAGACAATTTCATTGGACCAGGTGATTCTCTAATAAGAGATTCTCTAAATAATTAAATAATTTGTACTTTACAAACTTATTTGATTGATTTATTTATTTCCAAGTCTGTGTTTCGATTACTTTGCACTATTTATTAATAATCTTTTTTATTCCGACAAGTTAAAAACCCCATTTCCCTAATTCCAAGAAAGTAAATGCAAGTTCGGACACTTTTCGTTTATAAAGCGTTCATGAATATATGAAATATAAAATATATTTTCATAAACGCCATGTAAAAATGATCACTATCTCAAAAACTAAGAAACAATCGCTTCGCTAACCTTAATATACATATGTATATAAAAAATGGCGCTGCACATAATTTGAACTTTGAAAAGTTCATATTAACTGTTGCTCTCGTTACGTGTATATAAACAAAAAATATTCTATTTATCAGTTCCAGAATAAATGTACCGAAAACGGCTAACAACGATGGCTAACAAACATGAATGGTGTTTAGTTTTGCAAGAGTACTTTATGGCCTTATACTTTACCCAGTTAACTGTACGATCGAATGAAATCTGCGAATAAATCGCTACGCAATTTTCATTCGCCATTTTTTTCGCTATGCGTATGTATGCAAATCTGTAAGGTAACTATTTTTGTAAAACTTTATAACTTTTCACCGAATCGTCGATATTTTCCATTTGTTCGGCGATGCCAAGGCCACAACAATATATTTTCAGAATTTTTGTTCGCCTGTCTCAATATTTGTCGAATCGAAAATGCCGTGAGGTATTTGGTTAAAATTAGAAGAAATTAGTTGCCATACTTTAAGATCGTAACGTTGGATCGTTAACACGAGGCAGCTTTGAGATTTGACGAAGCAGAAATATCGTAATGAAAATGTATTCCGAATTTTGCACAGAATGCGGTAGCGTGAACACTCAAAGTTACAACTGGCTGTGCACCGTATCGTATGAACGTTCCAACGATAGAAAACGTTGGAAATCACGTCGACTGATTGTGACTGGCTAATACGATAAACGTAATAAAACGATACATTTGCGTGAGGTTCGAAGTACCTAAATTATTTATTTTCAAATTAACTTTCAAGTAATGTGGATGTACGCTTGTCTTTTTACTTGGATAAAAGTCAGCATAAAATGGTTGGCAAAAAATGTAAATGGTTTCCGTAACTTGGGAAATTCGGAATGGGTCGTAATGCCGATGTCCCGTGAACCTAGTGTTAACACTACCAACCGGTAGCCTATTAACGCTTTATCTACCGGGCTATTTAGAAAAAGTCTTCAATTCAAAGAAGAATTTTCTACAGTAGCATGTGCCAATCTGGGCTGACAATACTTCCTTCATACTATTACTAGGTACATCGAAAGCCAAGTCTGTTTCCAAAAACTGAACATTGTAAGTAGACAACCATCGACACAGTAAATAAATTCAAAAAGCTAAATACTGGAATTAAAAAGCCTATAAATAGGCTCCCGGTAAATAAAGTGTTAACATCAGACCTAGCGCAATCGGTCAAATGGCCGTTCTCAACCTTTCGTGTGGTTTCTTATATAAAATATATATTAAATTATACACAATTGTTTCACGTATTATTTAATTGAGTAACAAGTGAAATATTTTTGTACTCACGTGAAAGAGGTGTCTTTAAGATCCGTCATTTAACCGATCGAGGTAGAATTAAGTACCAATAAAATGTCGGTAGGTTTCGTATTATGTTTTCTCATCTCTTACCGAGACAACTCTGTATGCTTCCCATCGTTATATAAACATCCAAAAGCGATTGGAATAAATAAAATAAATATTCTACAATGCTAACGTTATGAAAATATAAAATATGATTAACGCTAAACCTACCGACGTTTATTTGTACCTATTTCTACCGTGATCGATTAAACGACTGGTTTTAAAGACACTTCTCAATCGCATTCAAAAATATTTCGCACGATACTAAATTCGATAATGCACGAAACAATCGCATATAATTTTTATATCGTATCTAAGAACTGTACACAAAAGTCGGAAAACGCACTTCTCAAATGCACGTAAAAATATTTCACACGACACTAAATTCGATGATACACGAAACAATCGTATATAATTTTTATATCGTATACAAGAACTGTAGACAAAAGTCGGAAAATGCACATTTGGCTGGTCGTGGTAAGTTTAGCATTAAATTTAACCCTCTGCGCTCGGGTGGTTCCTCTAGGGCGACATATGTAAGTTAAAAATGATTTTGTGAACGTACAATTTCAAATTCACTTACATCAGGATACAACTAATTATTAATTGAAATAATAATACATCGAGTCACGAATGCTCGTAGATGTTTTTCTATCAAAGTAGAGATTTGGTTTCACAGAAATTTATTATAAAAAATAAATATACGTGTCGAATTGTGTAACCTCCTTTTCGAAGTCGGTTAAAAATCGACTGGATTTGATTCCATAGAAAAACGCCTCGAGCGCAGAGGGTTAGTTATACGTCCAAAGGCTACCGGTCAGTAAAGTGGTAAAAAGTGTCGGCGACGCGAGAATCTCCCCTTGTAAGCGGCGAGAAGCTGCGAAACGAACGGGCCGGACCGGAAGTCGAGATACTCTGGTAAGAAAGAAGGGCGTAAAGCCGAGACTTACTGGTGAAGCCACCCCGCGTCGTCCGCTAGGTGCCAGGGTAGCTCTCCGTGTCTCCGGGCGCGCACATAGACGCCTCTCCCCCGTGGATGCTTCCGAAACCCTTTCTCCGTGCACCTCTCCAACGTAGTTATGTCTCACTTGTCTCACTCGTACGCGCGTGTATTAAACTATGGGTACGCTCGTATCACCTCTCGAATCGATACGACCGGCGTACGGCCGATACGAGAACAGAAACGAAACGAGATCGAATCGAACGCGAACCGTGCGTGACAAATTTCGCGAAACCGAGATACGTTTCCCGAGGGTAACCGCGCCGCGTATGTCGGGTCACTGGTTGATCGCCGGGTGTCGAACCGAACCGAACCGAACCGAGCCGACTGGAGGGCTGTATCGAAATCTAAGCTACGGGTAGGAGAATCGACGATCTCGAAATCGGTGGAGGGGAAAATTGTAGCACTGTCTTCGCGTTTAAAAATACTTTGTCACTCTCACTCTCTCTCTCTCTCTCTCTCTTTCCCTCTTTCTCTCTTTTTCTGACGATAACCGGGGAGGTGGTTCTGTTCCGCGAGCAACAACCGTGCGAACAGCACCGGAGCGGACCCCGTTTACGAAAAGGTCGCTCTCGAGAGGAAAGAGAGATATCCGAGCGTACAAGCAACTCGAAACGTTCGAGGAGCTGGACACGTCTCTGGTGGGCTCCAGTGCACGACTGAGGCGCCCTCTCGCCCCGCCCAGAGGCGCAGCGACGTTCCGAGCCGCGAGGTTCGACGGGACGTCGATCGATCCACCGACTGAACCCCACCACCGGACCCTTTCCTTTCGGGACGCCGAGAAGGTATCCGATCATCGCGCACGCGCGGGATTTTCTCCTCGATAGTCGAGAATCGAAACCCTCCCCGAAGGATCGAGCGGAATTCGAGGATTTGAAATTCAACCATCCGTGTGGTGTGGCACTCGCGGGGGTAGCCAGAGAGAGAGAAGGGGGGGGGGAAGAACCGAAAACGCGTTCCCCCGTGAAATACAGGGTGTCCCAAAAATGTTGTAACACGTTGAAAGGGGTGGTTCGGG